AGAGAGAGAGAGAGAGAGAGAGAGAGAGAATTGTAAATTATTGTCAAATATGCTATATCACATTTAATAAACAATCGTTTTTAATAACATACTTGTGACCAAAATTTTAGTCCGAATTTCATCTAGTTTCTTGTCATTGAGTATCCGATCAAGATGCTAAATAATTTGCCATAATAATTAACATGATTAATATTACCAATTTTAATTGCCATTAATGCAATACCTCATTCATGCCTACATTGAGACACTTTTTTAATCGACATTTTCTGCAATGTTTTCTAGAAATTGAATTAATTTTGCAGTTGTTTTCAAAATCGCAGCCAATATTCTAAATGTAAATAATTTGTATGAATTTATTTCACATCTAAATAGCATTTAAATTATAATTACATTTAATTTTGTCAAATTTCTCATAAAGAATACACGACACGATTCACATGTAATAACACCATAATGTTTGTCTGAAAAAATGTAATATGTCAGTATAAAATTTTAAACTACTTTAATTCAATAATTTATTATTAATACTACTTTTAATTTAATATAAATCCATATAAATATTGATTAAGTTGTAATTTAATAATAATTATGTAATTTAAGTAACATACTTTTAGCATAATCGCCGCACACAAGACAAATTTTTCTCCTAGGTGACATTTAATATTTTATAGCACAGAATAAAATAAGAATTTTTAAAACATAAAGTTTTATATTTACATTTATAAACTTGATCTAATATTACATTGCACATTATTACATTGTACTTGATGTACATTATATTTATACAATGTAAAGTTTAGTTTAGACAAGTGCACTTGCTGACATTTATGTCTTTTGTCCTATTTTGTTATAATTTAAATTAATTATATTATTCGTTGTAAACAACATTACGTTAAACGTATTGATTAATTATTTATGTTTCATATTCGCAGGTGTCAATTATAATTTATAACTTCCACACTCCCCTACTTTCATCCCCACCATGATTATTTCATGATTTAAAAAATGGTAAAGATGTCTAAAAAAATTATTTAAAACAAATATACATGTTTGATTTATGTATATTCTGTATAAAGTTTTCAAAATTCTGGCAAAAATTCCTTAACGCTATCTATTGGTATAAATTGTGTGAATACATGTATAGTCAAGTGGTTTACCTTCGGTGCACTAACTTTGCACTATAATTAATTAGCCATTGAAAGTAAATGTACAGATAAAATTTGGATTATTATATATGGTAAATTTTCAAGTGCCTAGAGACCATATTATTGATAATAGTTAATGTAATAAATATCAATATACAGTATATTAATTTATAACAAATACAGTTATTTAAATAAAATATAATCAACTTTTTGTTTAATACTAAAAATATTTAAAATGTTTAATAACTGTATTTTAGCATAATGTATTTATTAACAATAACTTTATAATAAATGTGTTTATGTTAATAATATTTTGTATTCAAATAAAACAAAATGTCTAAAATATTAATTAATTGCAAATGTGTGGTCTGTGGAGATAAGGCTCTAGGTAAGATTTGAAATAATTAATTAAAATAATTAGGATACTCTTAAAATAATATATAATTTATTTTACATTATCATTGCAGAGTTTAATTATAATTTTATTTTACTTACAAATATAAATTAAAAATAAACATTTTTTAATTGCAATTCTAGGCAACAATTTTGGTGTCATTACGTGTGAATCGTGCAAGGCCTTTTTTAGACGAAATGCACACAAAATTAATGTAAGTATTAAATAAATAAATAAAAATGTAACTTAAAATCTAATTATGTATTCATAATTATTTAATGAATAGGTATTTGAGTGCCTTTTTGACAACAACTGTGAAATCACTTCAAAGACCAGAATATTCTGTCGGACGTGTCGTTTGAATAAGTGTTTTGCTGTCGGAATGAAAAAGGTTTTCAAAACAATATTCACTATAAGTCTGTATTGAAACTAATCATACATTTTATTATACGTTAGGAATTGGTATTAACCGAAGAGAATAGGAGTAAAAGGAGACTTAAAAATGAGTCCAAACGACAGCGACAAATGAAATGTAGTGAAAACACTGAAAGTCCATCAGATATGACCGTCACCTCTAGCGGTGATAATGTCGGCACAATTGATGGTCAAACACCTCGTGATAACATGAGTATTACACGCCCTGAAGACAATATTACATCACATGTGGTTAACTATAACCCCCCGATCGCTACCATTGATCGACCCATCGATGACTATAACCCAAAGACATTGAATGAGATTGAGTTCACTCACATCCGGGAACTGTTGTCTGCGACCAATCATTTACAGCGACATAACGTACCGATTATCACATCAGAGCTCATATCTTGTCATCAATTCAGAGAATCGTTAATTTTTAAATGCGAAAGCGATATACCCTTATATGTAAACATGGTCAAACAATTGCACGGCTTTAATAATTTGTGCGAGAGTGACCAGATTAGCTTGTTGAAATACGGGCTTGTGGAAATGACCGTGTTAGGATTTACTGTATATTACGATAAGGTTAACAATTGCTGGATTGCAATTCAGGTACGAATTGCCATTAGTCAATAATTTACTAAAAATATTTATAGGCATTGTTAAATATTTAAATAATTTAAAATGAACAGGGTAACAAATCAATCAGGTTTAAGATCGAGAGCAAAGAATATCCAATTCTGGACAACAAAATTGATGAACACTTCAATGTATTGCTATCGATGTTAAACTATTGGGATGGTGATCACATTATTAGTGATTTGGTAATTGACATTATCAATTAATAAACTTTTAATTGTATTTAAAACTGTTTTGTTTGTGTTTAGTTGACTGCTATATTAGTATTCAACCCAAAGCGGCCAAACCTCATAAACAGGGAAACTATTAAGTGAGCGATCAATGAATTATTCATAATATTTATTATAATAATAACTCATTAATTATTATTAATAACAATTTATTACTATTATGTGCTATAGATTTCAACGCCACTGTTATATGCATTTATTGAGAAGATATTTACTACTGAAATACGGGTCCGACTGTGAGGTCAGCACAAGATTATTGTGTTTTATGAATAATTTCAAATATATTCAACATTTGAGTCGAAAATATATCTATATATTTAGACTTTTTCACTGCTTTTCTGAATATTCTGTGCCTCTTGTGACTGAATTATGCGAAACCAATTAATAATTACATATTTTATTAGAAATTGTTAAAAATATTATATATAAAGTAAAAAATAAGATACAGTGCAACTTCTCTATAATGAACGGCCAGTTGCACGACAAAAGTGTTTATTATAGGGAGGGTTCATCCAAGGGAGGTTCTCGACTTACCAGAGGATTGATAAACATTATCAAAAGGATTAATGCAACTTCTCTATAATGAACGGCCAGTTGCACGACAAAAGTGTTTATTATAGGGAGGGTTCATCCAAGGGAGGTTCTGTTATAGGTATAGAAAATCCTAAATATATTTCAAAACCGTTCATTCAAAGGAGGTGTTCATCCAAGAGAAGTTCACCCAAGAGAAGTTGCACTGTATATTTAATTACATCAAATAATTTTATAGAATGACAATTGTTAGGAAATTCCAAGGAAACATTTCAAAGTAATTGAGCTTTGTAATTTAAGATTTTATAATTAAAATGTTTTAACTTATATTATTTTTATGTCATTTATTGGAACGATATTACTTTAAACATGTTAAATAAAAATAATATAACTGTTACTGTAAGTAAATAAAATATATTTTAAATCTTAATAAATATAACACAAATTCAAATGTAATATTTATCAAGTTAAATTAATTATTTGATAATCCTTTTGATAATGTTTATCAATCCTCTGGTAAGTCGAGAACCTCTCTGAGCAGTGGTCCCGACCATTGGGCTCCGCGTATGCGTCGGCTCTGCTTTTGAATTGCTGTCAATTTGTATAAATCATGTAAAATATCCACAATTTGCTGTATTTTCGTCTTTGCCTCCAATTCTGATCCGTATTTAATGCTTAAATAGCGTTGAAGTAAATACATGTATAACCGATGTTGAAATCTACATGATAATTATTTTAATAAATTTAATAATCACTGCACTTCATACTTCACTATATTTTTATGTATAATGTTTGGTCGCTCGGCGTTGAAGATAATTACGGGCATTAACTGTAATTACAATTTTTAAATCACATTGGTTATTTTATTGATATTTAAAAGTACTATAAGATCAATACCATAGTTATAATATAACAGTCGGAATGCAGTAAATCCTTTATGTTATACAATAGCCGTTTATACAGTGGATAATAGCTCTTAACCCTATGATGTTTTAATATATCCAGTTTAAATATAAGATCAATACCATAGTTATAATATAACAGTCGGAATGCAGTAAATCCTTTATGTTATACAATAGCCGTTTATACAGTGGATAATAGCTCTTAACCCTATGATGTTTTAATATATCCAGTTTAACAATAATGTCTTCGTTTGAGTCCTGAAATTTAATTTAATTTAAATTACAAATTAACACAAATAATGTAATACAATATGCAAAATTTACCTGGGCAATATGCCAGCATTGAGTGTCGTAATTAAAACTGGTATAATTGCCGTAAAACACTAGCGCTTCAACGATACCATTCTTGAAAAGTGACATCTGGTCACTCTCGCACAGGTCTTTAAAAGCCCGCAAACTTTTGCACATTTTGGCCAACATTTGTATGTCTTTCTCCATTTTAATGATACCATAACTGTTGGCAACGTATGGGTCTGTGATCTCCTTAACAGCGATGGGAACCGAGTTTTGCCGCAAATGATTGGTCGCCGACAAGAGTTCGCTCACAATTTGGTACTCATTATCATTGAAATAATTGGTGTAATCAATGATCACTTTTGGGATCTCAATGACCGCCGATTCATATATAAAGTTAGTTATATCTGTTGTATTGTTTAACAAAGAGTTTTCTGTCCAAACAATTGCCGATTGATATTCATTGCCAGAGCTGTCAGTCTTATTGTCAGTATAATAAGCGTTTGCTTCAAAGTCATGGCTTGTGATAGACTTGTGACTCGTATCGATGTCTTCACTTATAGTATAATTTATATTATCGTAAATTAAATCATTATTAACTACATTATTATATTCATCAACTATTTTCTTGCTAATAGTTTGTGATGTTTGGTGTCTATTATTCCTAGTTTTTGTACATTTTTGTTTCCATTTCTTATAAATCTGAACTAGATCCTTATAATTAATAAAGTACTTTTAATTAAATTTAATTAAAACTTTAATTTCAAATATTTTAATACCTTTTTCATTCCGACATTAAAACACTTTCTCAATCGACAACTTCTGCAATATCTTCGCGAAAGTCTATCAATTTTACAACATTTGTTGAGACGACAGACAAAACACTATTATTTATACAAATAATTAATTAATTTCATATTTAAAAGTTAATTAATAAATACATTTATTTTTGTTGCATTTCTTTTGAAAAATTTAGTACACGATTCACAGGATATAACACCAAAACGTTTACCTAGTTTTTGAATATTCATATACAAAACATATGAATTTATTATTTTATAAGTTTTGTAATTCATAACTTGAGCAATTAATCAAGTAATTATATATACATATGTATATGTCTAGCTATTTAAATATTCATATATACTGTATATATTTAAATAGCTATTTAAATAACTATTATCAAATTAGTAAATTACATACCTATAGCTTTATCACCACAAATAAGGCAATCCTTAACCATCATAGATATTATTATATTTTATTAATCCACTAATGTGTAAGCAGTTAATTTAATAAACAACGTGGTTTACAATATTTTTTATTATATTTTTAAACAATTATCAATACTATGATAATATCTTACACAAAACAAAACACGACTAATATTTTAACAATAAAATAAATGTAATTAATTTTATGTTCACAAAAAAGTGCAAGTGTTTTACACTGTTGGAGGAAGTTTGTCAAATAAATCATTTATTGTAATTATTATTGTGTAACTTTCATTTATAATTAGACAAATGAATGCACTTGTTTGAAATAAATTTATAATTATTCATTATACGCAATTAAAATAATTAATTCGGATTTTTAGTTTTTATAAATTTAATACGAAAACAAAATTTAGTCTAAAAATAGGTACAATTTGTAACAGGATATGATTGCACTTGAAACTAATAATTACATCAATTCACCATTTACCATAAAGGATCTTGTTTTAATATATACCATATTGATCTTATTTAAAATTTACTAGGTGGTTGAGAATGCAACTTAATACAATATAATATGTTGAACATATAATGCAGTATAATTATAAATTAAAAGTTGTTTACAAATAAATAAATTTATAGTATTAATATAAAGAAAACTTTATCTAGAAATTATTATAAATAATTATACATATAAAGTAACATGTGTTTTAAACCATTGGAAACAACTTTCTAACAAAATCATTAATTATAAAACAAGTTTAGTTTTTTAATTAAATATTTTATAGTAATCCATGGTAAACATTTACAACTTTACAATTAATTAATTTAAAATATACTAAAATCAAACAATTAATGATCGCGCTAATTATGAATTTGTTTAAATGCATTTCAAAAACCAAATTATTCATCAAAAACATGTAATATTATAGTACTGTAAATACAAACGTTAAATAATAACCAAATAAACAAAACAATATTCACTGCAAATATGTTTAAAAAACTAATCACAGGATTAATACAATTGATATTTATCTCAAACACAATTAGTGCAGACATTTGTGAAGACAATTACGTGACAAATATATACACAAAACACATCGACAGCTCTTCGGTGGAAGTGATAATCGTCCGCAACGGTAAACAATATCTATGGAAAGACCGCTCGCAAAGGGATGAAGACATTAATTACATGGATGTCGGCTCTCATACCAAACCTAATAATGTGATAACAAAAACATTTATATTACATAACAATCAAAGTTGTGACAAAAGTAAAGTCAAGAGTGAGTGCAAACATATGGACAAAAAGGCCATCACTTTCTACGGCGACGGCAATAATAATTATTGGTATACTTACACACACGTGACGGACAATTACCAAGAGGTGGCACCGGATCCCAACTCAGACACAACCCGTATGCCACAGGGGGTATCACAAACAGGTGATCCAACCATTCAAAATTCTACCAATTTGTGGCCAAACGGTTGGATCAATCAAACCAATCCGTGCGCTGCCTTTGATTACCCTTCGGGTCAATTGGTTTATATCCTAAACGCCGATGAATTGCATCCAAAGACAAGAATCGTCAGAATGGGAACCTATCCCTTCGAGACATATGTGACTCCCATTGAGATTAATCCGGGTATTAACGGGTATTTTGTGGGTCTATTCAATCTGTTTCCATATTATCGTATATATGGCGTGACTTATGACCCGAAGACCAGCCAATCGCACGTTTATGTCTTTCACAACAATAGCAATACGTTTGAACATAAAGTGAGTCTAACTTTCATACCATGTAATTATAACCTAAACTGATCTTAAAATGTATTATTAGGCAGATTTCAAGACATTTATGCTCTGTCCCACCGGTGATACCCCGATGAAAACATCCACTATTATTATCATAATTGTTGTAACAGTGTTTTGCTTGGGTTGTATTGGACTAATAATGTATGTATTTAATCAGACAGTTGTGAAACATCCGTCAAAACACAAAGCCTTGCCACTTAAACAACAACATGGTATAAATTGTTTGACAATTTATATGTTAATTAATTATATGGTTTTGTTTTCAGACACATTTTCTGGTTCAATAAGAAGTGGAAATATTGGAAGTGTTGCCACAACTGAACCATTGATGACAACCGACACATCCATTAAAACCATACATTCAGACACTGGGAAACGTGTGGTTAAAGGTAGAGATTATGGCAATACTTCTGAAGATAATTGATTTGTGAAAAATAATTTCCTGATTTTGTTGTATACTTTGATTTATACATATAATTAATGCAAAATATATATATAATTTGGAGACTTTATTGTTGTTTTTGTGGCTATTTCTTAAATACATTTACATTAAAAATTAATTGATTAAATAAACACTAATCGCGCTAAATATCAATTTAAATTTATAAATTTTGTGACATATATTTAAATAGATTTTAATAACAGAATTAATTGTATAAAACATAAAGTTAGCAAACATTTGATATAATTTGTCAAGAAATAACTAAAACTAATATTCAAAATGTTTTACAAACTATTCATTGGATTAATACAATTGGCATATATTTCACAGACAATTAGTTTAGACATATGTGAAGACAATTACGTGACAAATATGTACACAAAACGCATCGACAGCTCTTCGGTGGAAGTGATTATCGTCCGCAACGGTAAACAATATCTATGGAGAGATCACTCGCAAAGGGATGAAGACATTAATTACATGGATGTCGGCTCTCATACCACAGTTAATAACGTCATAACAAAAGCATTCATATTATATAACAATCAAAGTTGTGTTGGAAGTGATTACACAAACAATATGTGCGACAAAGCCATCACTTTCTACCACGACATCAACGATCAGTTTTACTATGAAATCAGTCACGTTATGGCCGACGGACAAGAAGTACCGCCGGATTCCAAGTCAAACACAACTCGTTTGCCAATCGGTGTGTCCGTCAATGGAGACCCAGCCCTTAACGAGACATATTATATATGGCCAAAGGGTTGGATCAATCAAACACATCCATCCGTGGCGTCTGATTACTTGTTTTCTAAATTAATTTATATCCTAAACGCCGACAAATCTAATCCAAAGGCAAGAATCGTCAAAATGTGGACCAATCCATTCAACCGCGTATTTCAGGCTCCCGTAGAGATTAGTCCGGGTATTAACGGGTATTTTGTCGGGCTATTCAATCTGCGGCCATACCATCGGATCTATGGCGTCACTTACGACCCGCGGACTAACTTATCCCAAGTCTATGCTTTTAACAGCAATAGCAATGCGTTTGAACATAAAGTGAGTGTAACTTCATATCATGTTATTATTAATCTAAAAACTTTTATCAACATTTATTTATAGGCAGATTTCCAGTCATTTTTTCATTGTCCCAATATTGATACCCCGATGAAAACAATCACTTCAATTATCATTATTGTTGTGACAGTACTTTGTTTAGTATTTATTGGATTAATAATAATTTTGTTTTGTCGAGCAGTTGTATTTAAAAAGAAATCCAAACAATCTTCAAAAGGAAATGGTATTAATTATCTCAGTATTATATGTATAATACTATCATTGAAATTGTTTTTTAGACATATTATCTGCCGCTACCAGAAGCACAGGTGAAAAAGCATCGGTGGCCACCGGCGCCACTGCCGGCACATTTGTATCAATTAATACCATTCATTCAGACACCGGAACGCCAATGGCTTTGGGCAAAGATTATTGATTTTTAAAAATATACTTTTTTATGAGTTTTTGCTGTTATCTATATTTAAATTATTCTGAAATCTACAGTATAGTGACTTTTACTTATAAAACCTTAAATTAATTACAAATATACTTATTTAAATGTACTTAATTTAAAAATAAATAAAACAAAGCCTAAAATCACATCAAAATTTTATTATAAGATTTTAAACTGATTGATGAAAAATAATTTTCTAAATATGTTGTATATATTACTAGTTTACAGAACCCCCATTGCGCGCGCACGGGTTTGATTGTTGAACAGACATTATTGAATAGCAATTACAGTATGTATAGCCCCGCCTCCACGCCTCCCCCAACGGGGT